AATTAACAAACTCACCACGCAATTGTCCCTTTACTTCTGAGAGTCATCAAGGGACGGTTTTCCTAGTGCAATACCCATCCCACCTACGGTTCTAAGGAAGTGAAAGTAGGAGCAGCCAAGCAATACGATTTGTGTAAGGAAAGAGGAAAGCCGGGAGAGCAGGTAGCACATCCGCTCCTGGGGAAAGCCCAGAATTATACAGCAAACTATCCGCCAGCCTTGCCAAAAATGGGTTAAATTCTCCCTGACCTCGCCAAAAAGGATTTGTTCATGCTATTTCCAAGCCTTGTCCCACAAAGAAGTCACATGGCTCCCGGCACAGGGGTTGCAGGATAATATCTCTTAGTCATTTCAGGTGTCAGCCACTGCTCCCCCTCATGCCATTCTCAGAAATGAATATAGACAAGCATGGTAGCAGAGCCTGGCAGATCTTTTTTTTTTTATTTTTTTATGGTTTATTTAACTTTATTTTATGTGCAGTGGTGTGAAGGTGTCAGATCCCCTGGAACTGGATCTTCAGACAGTTGTGAGCTGCCATGTGGGTGCTGGGAATTGAACCCGGGTCCTCAGGAAGAGCAGTCAGTGCTCTTAACCGCTGAACCATCTCTCCAGTCCCCCCTTTTTTTAAAAAATATCTATTTATTTATGTATACAATATTCTGTCTGTGTGTATGCCTGCAGGCCAGAAGAGGGCACCAGACCTCATTACAGATGGTTGTGAGCCACCATGTGGTTGCCAGGAATTGAACCCAGGACCTTTGGAAGAGCAGACAATGCTTTTAACCACTGAGCCATCTCTCCAGCCCCATGGCAGATCTTTTTAAATTTGAGCCCGTTTGGTCTACAGAGTGAGTATGATAGTAAGAAATGTCTTAGTAGCACACACACAATCACACACAAAAACATAAATATAGTTGAATATAATTTTGCATTATTCGAGACAAGATCTCATTAGAAAGCTCCAGTTGGCCTAGAACTCACAATGGATAATTATATACTGAATATTTTAAAACAAATTCCAGTAAACATTTCATTCTATACCACTGGCTCATTATTCAAAGCCTGGCAGTTTTCTATACAAGAGGGAGCTTTCAACAATTTTCTTCATATTTACTTATATTTCAAGAAAACTGGAAATTCATAACAACTGGGAGAAATTTCATAATCTTTACGTTCTTAGGTTGTTTTTCTCCATCCAATCATTCTATGAAATCAATATCAATTTTTTTGAGCTTTTTCTAATTTAGAAACGTTTTAACTAGCGCATTGTAAATGGAGGTGTTTGGAAGTTTTGTTTGAATGCTAAGACTCCAACTATGGAAGCTGAAACAACACTTACCAAAGTAAATATTCCAGCTGCCAGTAACCCAATGAGTTTTTAAGAATGCTTTTCTAGGGCTGGAGAGATGGCTCAGCGGTTAAGAGCATTGCTTGTTCTTCCAAAGGTCCTGAGTTCAAATCCCAGCAACCACATGGTGGCTCACAACCATCTGAAATGAGGTCCGGTGCCCTCTTCTGGCCTGCAGACAGAATATTGTATACATAATAAATAAATAAATATTTAAAAAAAAAAGAATGCTTTTCTAAAATAGGTAGAAATTTTCCAATTACTGTATTGGAATTGTTGGAAAACTACTCTTTTAAATTTTCCTGGGGTGAAAAATAAAAGGAGGTTATTGGTTCACAGTTATAGTACTATTTGCTGTACTATCAGCACACTGAGTTAAATAGCTATTATTGTTATTTAACATGAACTAAAGGATGATATATGTGGCCACTAGATTTTCTATTAACACATGGGGGGCAACTATTCAAGCCTATGTGTAATAGGATTGTATCAAAGGTTTATTAGCAGTGTCTCTCATATTATTTTCTAATGAATAATAAAACATGTACAGCCTTTGTTAGAGTTTCCATTGCTGTGAAGAGATACCATGACCATGGCAACTCTTATAAAGGGAAAACAATTAATTTGGGCAGCATTTTCAGAGGTTTAGTCCATTATCGTCACATTGCCACGTGGTAGCATGCAGGAAGTCACAGTGCTGGAGACACTGTACATCTTGACCCACAGGCAACATGAAGAGAGACGAGACCTCAAAACCCACCCGCACAGTGGCACACTTCCTCCAACAAGACCAGACCTACTGCAACAAGGGTACACCTAATAGTATCACTCTCTATGAACTTATGGGGCCAATTATATTAAGTATTAATTGATAAGTATTCTGAAATCCCCAGTTGCGGGTGTCTTTGACTCATTTACTTGCTCTTGGGATCCTTATCTTCAGACTGGGCTGCCCAATCCAGCCTTGATAGGATGGTTTGAGCCTAGTGTCATTGTATGTACCTTGTTATACCGTTGTATGGGATGGTTTTGTGTGTCTACTTGACACCAAGCCAGAGACATCAGAAAAGACGGAGCTTTAGTGGATGAAATGCCTCCATGAGATCCATCAGTAAGGCATTTTCTCAATTATTGATCAATGGGAGGAGGGCCCAGCCCATTGAGCGCGGTCCCATCCCAGTGCTGGTGGTCCTGGGTTCTATAAGAAGGGAAGTCATTTGGAGTAACCCAATAAGCAGCACCCCTCCAGGGCATTAGCATCACCTCCAGTCTCCAGGATTCTGCACTGGCTGAGTTTCTGGCCTGACTTCCTTTAATAGTGAACATCAATCTGAAAGTGCAATGCAAATTAACCCTTTTTTCCCCATCTTGCTTTTTGGTAATGGTGTTTCATCACAACAATAGAAACCCTAACTAAGACACCATGTCTAGTCAGTATCTGTGAGAGACCTCAGGAAAATGGAAGAGGGGGAAGTTTGGGGGAAGGTTGAGGACTGAGAGGAGCGGAGAGAGGAATGGTGCGGTTGGGATGAGAGAAGAATAAATAAAACATAAATGAAAGAGAGGACTATGAACAAGCAAAGGAAGACAGAATCAAAGAAAGACAAAAACTCAACAGGCCAAATCCTTTGGCTCTGTCTCAGACAATGGGGCTTCATTTTCAAAGGGCATAGATAGTGTTGGGAGTAATTGAGTCCTGGCCTTCAGCTGCTCTTCCCTGTCTAGAGCCTTCTAATTGAGGTTACTAGAAGCTGTGCTTTGCCTAGAAGATCAGAGGATGGGATTTTCACCTGTTGGCCATTGACTGCAGGGTATTTAAGCCTCCATGGTGCTATTAAAGAAGGGTCAGATAGCTCTATGCCTGCAACTTCTCACAATCTCTGTCCTTTGCTACTTCCAATCCCCGTACACAGCTCTCAATGGCAGAAGTCTCATAGCTTGGGATCTCCACATCCTGTGATCTCAAATTCAACCCCCCTTCATCTTCACCACTGCATACAATCAACTCACACACTCTCCTCACTGAGGGTCTGACTCTGTCAAACAGATGGGTACAATAGTGATGAACTGACCACAGGAAAAAGATCCATCCATAACTTTTAAACTTTGCATCTTTCTTGTTTCCAGAATCAGTACAACATAGGAGACCCTGCCAAGTTTGGATGGACCCCACCAAACATGCACAACTGTTATTGCAGGTTCTGTATGAAGTTCCTTCCTGGGACTAGAAATCACTTTGCTTACTCCTTCCAGGAATCAAAGGCTCAGGTGGATGGAGTCTTAGCCTTGGGGCACATTCCTAGACTTCCACTGCGGAGCCAGGGCCTTCCCTTCAAAGGGGCCAAACTCCTTGAAAATTCCTGCCTCTTTCTCACCACCTGACTGACGTATGAAACTCCCTACTGCTGTTTTTCTCCACAAAACACAGACTTTTCATTTCTTTCTAAGCCCATTTGTTTTTCACTGTAGACCTGAGTCTCAGTAATAACCACCCAACAGAGGCAATAAATATTAGAATAATAAATAAAATTATCTAAGAAATCAGCTCATTACTTTTTAATACCATCTTACTTACTTTTTCAGTACATGGCGAGAATAAGAAAATTTGGGGGCTAAAATATCCTACAAATGACCTCTGGCTACATTCTTCATGGAGTTTTATAAGCACCTGTGCTAACTTACCAGGCCACAGTCCCCCAATGGGGCTACAAAGGAGGAAGCCAGGCTTTAGATAGCGGGACCACAGCAAGTCAAGGCTGTGACTGATTTATTAACAGCAATCAGACTTTTATGCCTTGATCAGAAACAGAAGATAATGGCAATTTCCAGGATCAATACAATTCTAGTTGCCATGGTGTAAGGAACTTTGCAACCTGTACAGGGTACACAAGATTAATCTCTGAAACCAAATGTCCTGTGAAGCTTCCGTTCTTCCTTGACTACTAAGGGATCATACAGAGAAACACAAAGCAGCCTGAATGTTTCACTGGTTGGGGCAGGGAGGGGCTACATCAGGAACCAGAAGGCACCTTGTGCCCCAGGAGCCATGGACTTTAACCTGAAAATCCTATGACACATGTCTCTCAAGGCAGACAGTCCAGGCCATGTCCACGGTTCCCTGCAGAGCCTTACCCACTAAAATCCTATAACCTTGAGACCTACTGTTTGCAATTACTCTCAACATTGCAATTTTCCAAGTCCTACTAGAACAGCTGATGGAGCTCTGTGAACAGCTTTCTACAGTTTTACCATCTAAAGTCCTAATACCTTCAACATTCCCCCAGATCCCAACATTCACGGGTCCTTTGCAACAACAAAATCACCTTTAAGGCACCATTTTTTATTGTTGTTGTTCAAACTTTCTTCTCCGTTGCCATCATTAAATTCTCTAACCAAAAGCAACTCAGATAATGAACAGGTTTATGTGGTTGATACCCCTAGCTCACAATCTTCCTTGTGGGAGATTAGGATAGAAACTCAAGCTAATAACTTGTAGAAGGAGCTGCGGGCTGTGCTCCTGCTGCCCGGCTCCCACACCACGGGTTAGCTTTTGCCCCAAAATAACAACACACAAACTGTATTCATATAAACACTGCTTGGCCCATTAGCTCCAGCCTCCTACTGGCCAACTCTCACATCCTTATCAACCCACCTCCATTAAAGTGACCCACCAGGAAGATTCTAGCGTACTTTCTTCTTGGGCTGGAGCTTCATCACGTCTGCCCTGGAGAGGAGCGGCATGGCGTCTGGCTCACTTCCCTTCTTCCCAGCATTCTGTTCTGTCTACTCCACCCACCTATGTTCTGACCTATCAGGCGAAGCAGTTTCTTTATTAATTAACCAATGACCTTCCCACATCAATAACTGAAGGCAACACGTGAGGAAACATGGTTTCCTGGCTTTCTCTCTTGCTTAGTCACCGTCTCAGGCTCAGCCATCCCTCTAATCCAGCCCAGGACCACTTGCTTAGAGATACTGACAACTCAGTGGAAGAGCCTTCCCGCACCAATCAGAATGAACACAATCTCTCTCGGACACTGTAACCAGATGTTTTGATTGGGCACAAACTCAACTGATGTTCTTTCTCTCAGATGACTCTAGGTTATGTCATGTTCACAACTGAGGATAATTAGGAAAAAGATACAGTAATATACGAGCTGGCTTTAAAGAAGCAAAGCCAATGAATTAATTATACCAGTTACTAGAGCAGCAAAAAACCAAACATAAAGATAGCAACAACTGGAGAACACAGAAATGCCAGGGAATGAGACAAGGCAAGTCTCTAAGATCAAGCAGAGAAAACTAAAACTGTCTCCCCACAGAAAGTTCCCAAGCCAATCAAAACACAAGGAACTCATAACAAGACATTGTATGAATACAAATTTGGTGAAGGTCCATTATTTTCTAGAAAATGAACATAATAAGACTACAATTAATAAAATCAGCAGCACAGATGACACCACTGGTAAAACAAGACACCAAGGAGACCTGCAAATATAGATGACGGTCCCTTATACAAGACACCAAGGAGACCTGCAAATATAGATGACGGTCCCTTAAACAAGAACGACAAGATCCTAATCAAAATCAAACTTCAAGTAACCACAGCCACTCATCCTGTGCACTCAGTTCTCTCCTTTGCCAGTCACAGAAAAATTGTTAAAAGGTCTGGCGATGGTGGTGCACACCTTTAATCCCAGCACTTGGGAGGCAGAGGCAGGCGGATCTCTGTGAGTTCGAGGCCAGCTTGGTCTATGGAGTGAGTTCCAGAACAGGCTTCAAAGATACAGAAAGACCCTGTCTTGAAAAATAAAAAATAAATGAAAGAAAGGAAGGAAGAAAGAAAGAGAAAATTAGTTGGGCAAGGAGATTGTCCCACCAAAATTGGAGATTTGCTTGAAGCTTTCTGATGTTTTATCTTTGTAGAAAATAGTTTCAAGGAGCTGGAGAGATGGCTCAGAGGTTAAGAGCATTGCCTGCTCTTCCAAAGGTCCTGAGTTCAATTCCCAGCAACCACATGGGGGCTCACAACCATCCGTAATTGTCTTCTGATAAAGGAAAGGATGTCTGTTAGGATCACATAGATACCATTTTGTGTTCTATGCTAGATGACTCCCTGAAACCAACATGAGAGTGAGGATATGAAAAATTTTCAAAATAAAGCGCATGATAACAGATTTTTCTTTAAAAAAATATTTATTTATTATGTATACAATATTCTGTCTGTGTGTATGCATGCAGGCCAGGAGAGGGCACCAGACCTCATTACAGATGGTTGTGAACCACCATGTGGTTGCTGGGAATTGAACTCAGGACCTTTGGAAGAGCAGGCAATGCTCTTAACCTCTGAGCCATCTCTCCAGCCCCATGATAACAGATTTTAAAAGAATCAGTATGCACCCAAAACAACTGGTTTTGCTCTAATTGCTTTATAAGTCACAAGCACTTTTTAAACAAGTTTATTACTGCTTTTTGTGTATGTTTGTGCATGAAGAGAATACCTTCTACATGCATACAGGTGACATACACATAGAGAGGGTGTCAAATTAACTGGAGCCTCCCAACTTGAGTGTTGGTATCTGAACTAAGGTCATCCCAAAGAAGAAGGTGTGCTGAGACACCGCCCAGACACATAATACATTTTATTCAATAAACCAAAGGCTTTCATAGATTAACAACAACAAGACCATCAACACCTCACTAAATAAATGATCCTTGGGAATGTGCTGCTTCAGTGTAAGATTCTGGGAATGGTGAATTTCCGCCTTAAAGAGAATACAACCCAACAGCAGTGCCCAGTGCTTTATAACAGGAAAGCTGATTACAAAGATACACGGCTGTGGAAACACTCAGAATGCTCAACGGGATTAAGAAAAACTAGCACACAGACTGATACAATGTGGCTTCTATACTTACGACAAAGCCACAACAATCAAGGATGTAAACATTTGTGAAAGGATAAAGGGGATGGAGAACAAAGACAAAAAAATATAGCCAGCTTTTAATCAAAAGACCTAGGGATGGGCTGGAGAGGTGGCTCAGTGGTTAAGAGCACTGACTGCTCTTCTAGAGGACCTGAGTTCAATTCCCAGCAAACATTTGGTGGCTCAAAACCACCTGTAATGAGATCTGGCGTGAAGTTGACCATGCAGACAAAACACTGTATATATAATAAATAAATCTTAAAAAAAAAAAAAAAACCTGTAATGAGATCTGGCACCCTCATCTGGCGTGAAGGTGACCATGCAGGCAAAACACTGTATATATAATAAATAAATCTTTAAAAAAAAAAAAAAAAAACCTGTAATGAGATCTGGCGCCCTCATGTGGCGTGAAGGTGACCATGCAGGCAAAACACCGTGTATATATAATAAATAAATTAAAAAAAAAATACCTAGGGAATCTCAGTCAGGAAAAGTGGGGTCTTGACCAGTGTTACCCAGCCCCCTATGAGTCCAAGTGTATAGAAATTAAATAAACACAGAGTTCACAACTTCTACAAATTAACTCAAGGTGACCCTTACACTGTTTCTGACTTCCAGTCATTGGTAATTGTTCCAAAGACAGACACCCCGTGCTCTAAAGCTCTCTGCAAATGGAGATGATCCCCTGTTGTGGCTCTGCAGCCCCTTCTGGCTTGTTGTGGTTTCAGGTAAACCCCGTCCCTCTGATGCCCAATCCCACAACAACACAGAAGAATAATTTAAAATCTGCCTCCTGCCAGATGGATTATGGCACAAGATGTGGAATCTGCTCCATTGACCTGCACGACACCATGGACGCCTGAGAGATCTCTGCAGAACAGAAACCCTTTCGTCCACTGGAACTGAGTTTCTCTGAATCACACCATGCTGGCTGGTGGTAGCAGAAAGCTAAAAGCATTCTAATCATGTACGGCTGAAGATTGATCCACATCATCTTTCTACCAGTTCCTAAACTACTTGTATCATATATAGGACAAACCTGAAAGTGGAATTCAATATTCAGAATTTCTAGAAAGCAGGCCTTTACCTTTTCCAGCTCATTTTCCCACCGCACATCACAAGCAATGTCTGTCTGTGCACACTGGACAGTGACATCACAAGCATCAGAGCCTCCCCCTCCCCAGGAAATCCCATGCAGGGAGGCTCACAGGACAAGGTTCACTGCCCGGGTCATTACATGGACCAACAGAACCACAATCTGGCCCATGGTCCATTCAAGTCCCAGCAGAAAAGACAGCACAGCAAACCTGCTCCGAGCACCCCACACTCACCATGGCATGGCTTGTGGTCTTTCTTACAACTCCCTACAGTCCTAGAAAGGACCTGCAAGTAGTATTCCTACTGCTAAGCCTTGCCAGAGTCCCTCCTTAGCTAGGGACACCCATCTGGACCTCAGAATATCAGCAGCTCCCCTACTGGGTGAGCAGAGATCTAAAGACTCAGACAGCACAGGCCTTCCCAGCTCTGCCCTTCCAGCCCAGCAGACAGAGCCCTATTTGTATTAGAGTAGACATTCTTCCACGCTCCCGGAGCACTTCCTGTTCCTTGTTCAAGGCACAGGGTCCTTTGTGTGTAGATCGCAGGACACACTCAGTGTCCAGTGCAGTCAACCCTTTGATTCCTAGCTGGGAAGTCCTGCAGCTAAACACAGGTCACATTCAAACAGTGACTGTTGTCAAAGGAAAAAAGAGGCCATGAGTTAGAAAACAATGAGGGGTCATGGTAGGGCTTTGGGGGCAAGAAAGAGACTCTGGAGATGATGTAGTTTTTATCTCAAATAATTATTTCGAAAAGCTGAAACAGGCTTTAGTGCCATAAACTCCGGAGTCGAGGGGTTTGTCTGAGAGCCACCAAGGACTGCTCACACCTTTCTCTCAGCCTGCGCATCTTAAACCCGGAAAGTCACAGTCCTGTAGACAGGGGAGGGACTTCTTACAAAGACCCTCTATTTTGGTTAAACTAGTGTAACTGCAGTAATTTGGTTACGCAGATCCTTGATTGCCCTGGACTGTGGACCTCCAAAAATGGCCACATGAAATATTTATGAAGCCTCTAAGATTGGTTACCTGACTCCCCATTGCTAATATCAACTACTGCCAAAGCAGGAAAGCTCTCCCCTCCTTCCTGCCATTTTCTTTCTTTCTTTTTTAAAGATATATTTATTTATTATGTATACAATATTCTGTCTGCATGTATGCCTGCAGGCCAGAAGAGGGCACCAGATCTCACTACAGATGGTTGTGAGCCACCATGTGGTTGCAGGGAACTGAACTCAGGACCAGCTGGTGCTCTTAACCACTGAGCCATCTCTCCAGCCCCCTGCCATTCCCTTTCTGTGCTGTGACTACATCAGATTCAGAGTTGATCAGTGACTCAGTTCTGGCACAGGTCCTTCTTCATCTGTAACTCCCCAGGGAAAGTCAGAGAGGTTGCAGGACACTCATTCCCTGGTCTCTTATCCTTCTCACTGACCAGTCAAGGCCCAGCCTGAAAGGAGTTGCAGGACTGTCTTCCCACCACTGGGCAGCAGAGGCAGGATTAAGTGTTCAAAGCAATTCTCAACTTCATAGCCCCTGGGCTGTAGGAAATACTGCTCTCAAGAGAAATAAATAAATAAATAGCACTTGAGAAAAAAGGAATAAGATTCTTAAAGATCACAAAACACTGGAGAACGGAGACAAACAGGAAGAAGAACACTAATGCACATAAGG